GTGCGCCACCACCGCCCGGCTGCAATGCCATTCTTATGGCAGTAGTGAACAGCACACACAATCTGAGTGAAGATGTGCTGGGCCTGCTCCTCCTGAAGACAGCCCACTTTCTCAATATGGCTCACCAGATCTCCCCGAGAAGCATGCTCCATCACCATATAGGTGTGCTCTTTGGTGTTGATGATGTGGAACACCTTGATGATGTTTGGGTGGTCCAGCGGCTTCACAATGTCGATTTCAGTTTTGTTGTTGTGGTCAGTATTCTCACCATTTTCCAGGATCTTGATGGCAACCTGCACCTCTGTGTGGAGGTGGCAGGCCAGCTTTCCCTCTGCAAATGTCCCTTTGCCAAGGGTCCTGAGTATGATGTAATGATCTGTAAGGCTCTCCTCTTGAGAGGCGCTGGTTTTCAGGTCCAGCTGCATTGTCCCATCATCTCCTGTCTTGCTAGTAAGTTTCTTGATAATTTCCACACCAACACCAACTGGACAAAATCAGATTAAACCAATGAGAAGTAGGTCTAGGGGAAGAGTTTATGGCTTTCGATTTCTACATGGAGAAGTGTCAGGGATGTGAAGCAACCTTACATTGACCTTGTGGGTACAGAAAAATAAGAAAAACTAAACCCCAAAAGAGTACCTGGCAAACATTCTGAAGACGAGAATAAAACCTAAGAAAATGGACAATAATGAACATATCAAAGGCATAAAAACTAGATTATTGAAAAGAACAAAACAGACACCTTACCAAAAGTGATCAAATAGGAGAAGACACCATGTAAATCTACAGCCAAACTCTGGTGCTGTTATAGCAAAAATGGCTGGAATCACAAAGGACTGTTGTTTTTTGTTTTTTGTTTTTGGCAATTAACAAGGTGTTTTATTTTGATATCCTGTCAACATGTTTGAAGATAAAATGTGTTAATAAGTCTGTGCAAACCAAACCATTTCATATGCAGTCTTGGGAATACATTTTGCTTCCTTGTTCACCACTGAGTTCTCAATAACTAAAACAATGGAAATCATCTAACTTGAACACTTGAGACATTTTCTTAATGAAAGTGTAGACTAC